TTCCTTGCGGGTTCCCAGCGGGGTCACCACCGCTCCCAGGGCGATGGAATTTGGGGACAACGCCCTGAGGGTGGATCCAGCCGCTCCTGATCCTCCCTGGGAATGGGAACGGGATCCAAATCCCGCTCCAGGCCGTTCCCTCTCCCTCTCCGGCTCTCCCGCTGGAAAAAAGAGCGTCTCGGCTGCCGGTAACCTCCTCCAACGCTCCATCAATAATTAAACCCCCGCTTGGCTCCCGCTGCTCGCCGGGGAAATTACCGAGCGTTACCGGGGCGCTGGAGCCGCCTGGGGCCGCAATTAACCCCCGGGAAGCAGGGGGTTAATTGGAGCCTCCCTAATGGCAGGGGGAGCTCGGATGGGGGGGGGGAGCCCCAAAATCTCCCCAAAAAGGCTCAAAATTGGCGCTTTTTCCGCCGCTAAAGGATGGCCGCGAAGCCTCTGCCTCTCCGCGAAGCTCGGCCGGGTCGCGGCGCTGCCCTCCTCCTGCGGGTGCCATTCCCGGCCCGTTCCCTCAGGGATTCCCGCAAAACCTCGGGAAAGCGCTCCACGAGGGCAGCTCGTGAGCGGCAGGAAACAATCCGGGCCGAATTCCTGCTCTGGGCCGGGCTTCGGGGCTCTGCTGCCTGCGCTGACCCGGATTTGAAGGGAATTTCACCCAGCGGGGCCCCGGGCTCCGGTACGGCTCCTCCACATCCTCTGGAAGAGTTTTCCCAACCTTCAGAAGAATTTTCCTGCCTCTGGAAGAGTTTTCCCACCCTCTGGAAAAGTTTTCCCACCTCTGGCAGAGTTTTCCCTCCTCTGGCAGAGTTTTCCCACCTCTGGAAAAGTTTTCCCACCCCTCAAAAGAGTTTTCCCACCCTCTGGGAAAGCTTTTCTGGAAGATTTCTCCCACATCCTTGGGTACAACTCCTCCACATTCAGCTCCAGCTTTCCCACCCTCAGCTCCGGCTTTCCCACCCTCAGCTCCAGCTTTCCCACAGAATTCCAGAAAATATGAGGAAAAAAATCTCATCGGAGCCCCCCTGCCACGGGCAGGGAGCTCTGCTGCCGGCCCAGGGGATTTTGGCACAAACGCAGCCGGGTCCGGGGGCTCAGCGCTGAGGCGCCCACCTGGATTTCCTGGGGTTCCACCTGGATTTCCTGGGGTTCCACCTGGATTTTGTGGGGTTTCATCCGAATTTTGTGGGGTTCCACCTGAATTTTGTGGGGTTCCACCTGAATTTTGTGGGGTTTCAATTGAATTTTGTAGGGTTCCACCTGAATTTTGTGAGGTTTCATCTGAATTTTGTGGGGTTCCACCTGAATTTTGTGGGGTTCCACCTGAATTTTGTGGGGTTTCATCTGAATTTTGTGGGGTTCCACCTGAATTTTGTGGGGTTTCATCTGAATTTTGTGGGGTTCCATCTGAATTTTGTGGGGTTCCACCTGAATTTTGTGGGGTTTCATCTGAATTTTGTGGGATTCCATCTGAATTTTGTGGGGTTCCACCTGAATTTTGTGGGGTTTCATCTGAATTTTGTGGGGTTCCACCTGAATTTTGTGGGGT